CCTTTATGTATGCTGAATCGTCTAAAGAGCTGTGGGAAGAAATATGTCAAAGATACGGTGAAAATAATGGTCCTATGAAGTATAAGTTGCAGAGAGAAATTACAAGTCTTAATCAGGGAAATGACATAGTTATGGACTATTTCAACAAACTGAAGAAGCTTTGGGATGAATATGCATGTGTTGCACCTATGAGAATCTGTGATTGTGCAAAGGGAAAACAGGTTGCTCAACATGAGTCTGAGACTAAGCTCATACAATTCCTCATGGGACTCAATGAAAGCTTTGATAATCTGAAAAATCAAATTATGTTATTGGAACCCCTACCTACTGTCAACAAAGCTTATTCTATGGCTCTCACAGCTGAGAGGCAAAAGTCAGTGCAAAGTCTATATGGTGAAAGGTTAGACAATGCAGCTTTGGCAGCAAAGACAGATGGTTATGGAAGAGGAACTTACACACCTAATAGGGGAGGAGGACAGTGGGGGGGCAGTAAAGGAAGAGAAAATCCTAGACTCACAAAGGAAGAAAAGGCAAAGCTCATTTGTGAAAAATGTGGGATGAGAGGACATAATATAACCACATGCTTTAAAATCCATGGAGTGCCAGAATGGTACAAAGATTTCAAACAGCAGCAAGGGAACACCCATGCATACAATGTTGAGACTTCAGAATTGGTGGATCAAAGGAAGAAGCTGAATGAAAAGGGTAATGAGCCAACTGATCTCAGTTCTATTATCCAACAGCTAAATGACCTTACTCAGTACATTAAAGGGAAAGAAAATGTGGACAGCAATCTGGATTATGCACAGTTTGTCAACTTTACAGGAAGAGACAAAGATGACAACATCCACTTTGCCTTATCAACAGTGAATGAGTCTCAGGAAGGTGAATGGATCATTGATACAGGAGCTAGTAGGCATATTTGCTCAGAAATCAAGCTAATCCAAGGACTACAACCCCTCAGACATCCAGTAAATGTTTGCTTACCAGATGGAACCCTGAAAAGAGTTGAAAAAAGGGGTATAGTCAAGCTGAGTAACAATATAATCCTTGAAGAAGTGCTTTATGTACCATGCTTCAAATACAATCTCATCTCAGTGGTACAGTTATGCATCAACAACAACCTGAAATGCTCTTTCACAACTACAAGCTGTTTATTGCAAGATCAGAAGAATAATCAAATAATGGGAATGGGGCACTTGAAAGGGAACTTATACATATTTCAGAACAATCAGGAGGAAGAGACCAAAATATTTTGCAACTTGTCTATGGAAGAGTGGCATAAGAGGCTGGGACATCCCTCAATTTCTACCATGAGGCACTTTCCTTTTCTGAAAGGGATTAGTGACAAAAAAGGTGAAACTCCAATTCAGGAGTGCAATGTTTGTTTCAAATCTAAGCAGCATCGATTACCTTTTCAGAACAGCACAATACAGACAGAAAAACCCTTTGAGTTATTGCACATGGATATCTGGGGACCTTGCCATGGAAAGAATCTCACAAATACTCCTTACTTCTTGACTCTGGTGGATGACTACACAAGGGGGACATGGGTATTCCTTATGAGTGCCAAGTCACAAGCTGTTGGTTTGATAAAAAAGTTCATTGCCATGACAGCAACACAGTTTGACTGCAAGGTCAAGTGAGTCAGAAGTGATAATGGACAAGAATTCTTAAGTAAAGATCTGCAACAATTTTTCAGTGAGGCAGGCATCATTCATGAAACAAGCTGTACATATACTCCACAACAAAATGGAGTAGTGGAGAGAAAACATAGACACTTATTGAATATTGGAAGGGCATTAATGTTTCAAAGTCATCTTCCTTTGAAGTTCTGGCCATTCTCAATATTGGCAGCTGCTTATATCATCAATAGAATGCCTAGTTCAGTACTTGGTTGGAAGACACCTTTTGCGAAGATGTACAACAAGGCACCAGAATATCATAGCCTAAAAACATTTGGATGTCTGGCCTATGCAGCTAGTGTGGATCCACAGAAGGCTAAGTTTGACAAGAGAGGTCTTAAATGCATTTTTCTTGGTCATGTCAATGGAAAGAAGGGTTTTCAACTCTATGACATGGAATCCAAGACACTGCTTGTATCAAGGGATGTCATATTCTTGGAACAAACTTTTCCCTATGCAAGGGATGACTTGTCTGAAGAAGAAAAGATACCCTTACCAATAGTTGATGAAAACATTGAGCCATCAGAGATGGATTCACTTGATTCCACATCAGGAATCCTTGAGGAGTACATACAGCCTGTGAACCTAAGAAGAAGTGAAAGGATCAGACAGCCACCTAAATGGCAGGCAGATTATATTTGCAACTAGACACTGACACAAAGTCCAACAACCACTGAACATTTCCTCACTTTCATGACAAATGTGAACATGGAAAAGGAACCCTCTCACTACCAACAAGCCTGCAAACATCCTGCTTGGGTTGATGCTATGCAAAGAGAGTTGGAAGCTCTTGAAGAAAACTGCACCTGGGAACTCACTGATTTACCAGAAGGAAAGAAACCTATAGGTTCCAAGTGGGTTTACAAAATTAAAAGGAAAAGTGATGGGACTGTAGAGAGATTTAAGGCAAGATTGGTTGCAAAAGGTTACAACCAAGTGGCTGGAGTGGACTACTTTGATATTTTCTCACCAGTGGCTAAACTGGTTACAGTTAGAATGTTCATTGCATTGGCTACAGTCCATGGTTGGCCCTTGCATCAACTTGATGTCAACAATGCATTCTTGCATGGGTACATTACTGAAGAAGTCTTCATGACACCTCCACAAGGGTACACTAAGGCAGCTAAGGGGCAAGTATGCAAATTGGTTAGAAGCCTGTATGGGCTTAAACAAGCCTCTAGAGAATGGAACAATGAACTGTGCAAGAAACTTTCCTGCTTTGGGCTAATTCAGTCAGCCTATGATCACTGCTTGTTCACACTTAATAGAGGTAACCACTTTCTTGCAATCTTGGTGTATGTAGATGACATACTAGTGACCAGTTCAAGTGAAGACCTTATCTCTCAACTCAGATCCTATTTAGATGCTGAGTTTACTATAAAGAACTTGGGAGCAGCCACATACTTTCTTGGTGTTGAAATCTTAAGGGATCATACTGGGACTTTCCTTTGTCAAAGAAAATATGTTTTGGACATGCTAGAGGATCTGCATATGCTTGATTGCAAGGCTGTAGCCACACCTTTACCTCATGGCCTACACCTCCAAAGTCAAGATGGCACACCACTCATCAATCCAGATCAATACAGGAGGCTCATAGGCAGGTTGCTTTACTTGGGCATGACTAGACCTGATGTTACCTATGCAGTGCAGCAACTCAGCCAGTTTGTGAATGATCCATACTCTTCTCACTGGGATGCAGCTGTTCACATCCTCAAATATCTCAAAGGGACTGCAAACCTTGGACTACATTTTCCACTCAACACTGGTCACAAGCTGCTTGCTTATAGTGATGCAGACTGGGCAGCATGCAAGGATACCAGGAGATCTATCACAGGTTATGCAGTCTTTCTTGGGGGCTGCTTAATCTCTTGGAAAAGCAAGAAGCAATCCACAGTCTCCAGATCATCAGCAGAAGCTGAGTATAGAGCCCTCAGTTCTACTGTGGCAGAGCTATTATGGATCACCTATATTCTTCAAGAATTTCATGTTGAGATCACTCATCCTATTCCATTATGGTGTGACAATAGAGCTGCCCTACACATCACTGCTAATCCAGTTTTCCATGAACGTACCAAACATTTGGAGATCGACTGCCATTTTGTAAGGGACAAATTTAAATCAGGGTTCATTCATCCCATGCATATTTCTACTAAGTTCCAACTGGCAGATCTCTTCACAAAGGTGCTCACTGGCTCACAGTTTCATTTTCTTGTGTCCAAGCTGGGCATGCTGCTCTTTCCTACTTGCCCAGCTTGAGGGGGGGCTGTTGGAATAGTGCTCGACTATGCAAAGTGGCTGTGAAGGCCTGCATGTGTGCAGGTTTTTTTGTTCTTAACATGTTGCTTTC